TCTCTCTCTCTCTCTCTCTCTCTGCTTTTTGGTTACTACCAGGTGAGCAACTTACTCTTTGCCATGATTTTTTGCCTCAGCATGGGCCCAAAAGCAACAAAGGCAAGTGACCATGGACTGAAACCTTGAAACTGTGAGCCAAAATAAGTTCTTCTTTAAGTTGTTATTCTCAGGTATTCTGTTAGAGAGGGAAAGTGGCGAATAGTTATCCTTGAAAGCTGACTTCTGTTGCTCCCCACAGTGCTTCTAGGATAACTTGTATTGTACATGTCAGGTATGCATGAAACAGTCTTGTTATTAATTTGCTCTGAGGAAAAAAGACATTTGGTTTTTCTAGTCTAGGTGTTGATGACTATAATGACTAATCAGAGATCTGCCTGTGCACAAACGCTTTCATTCCCGTAGGGTAAACACCCAGAAATAGGGCTGCTGGGACACAAGATGTGTACACATAACTCAAAAAACAACTGCCCAACCCTTCCAGTGTGGCTGCATGCCATGCCTTCCCAATGGTGTGTGGCAGTTTCAATGTTGCTCAGCCTCCCCAACACTAGGCACTGTCAGTCCTAATTTTAGCCATTATACAGTTTCCATTTGCCAAATGATTAGTGATTTTGCACATCCCTTCAGGTGCTTATTTGTCACCCTACATACTCCTTTGTTAAAGTGCCTCTGTATGACTTTTGTCTAGTTTTTAGTTGGGTTTTAGTTTTTGGGTGTCCTCTGTCAGATTTGTGACTTTACACCATTTTAGCTGTGTCTTTGAGAGACTAAATAGTTGAATAGTTTTCAGTTTCTCCTTATGTGAATTATGCATTGGATGTCATGTTGCTGGGCCTGATGTATGTCTGGGAAAGACTGGGATGGCAGCTAGCTGTCCTAAAACCAAGGACTTGATTGTAGAAGAGTCTGGTGTTGTGGGGAAGACTACAGATTATGGACAAGGAGATTATGGACTGGAGATTATGAACAAGGGACAGATCCTTTCCAGCAAAATATGAGAGGCTGAGTAAACATTTCAATAAACAAAAGCAGAGTCCTGTCTATAGTAGTTATGAGTGTGACTAAGAGGCTGGGACACTCTCCTGCACATGGACTGATATGACAAGTGACCTGCAGCCTGGACAGCACACACTTGGGCCAGTGCACTTCCAACTGGTGGGGCTGTGGGTACATCACTGCTGGAGTATACCATGACTATCACCCTGACAGAACAGTTCCCCTTACAAACAAAGTCAAATGCTATTTTATGGAGAACCTTAGTAGATCTGCTTTGATAGCTAACTTACTACAGGAAATTCATGCCTTGACTATTTTAACATGATTCTGTGTGTCAGGACTGGTGAAATGAATCATGGTGAGTCCAAGAGTCAAATGCACATATGAACAAATAAGCCTGAACAGCACAAGTTAAGTTTAGAGTCAGCAATGTCATTTCAAACCCAAAAAGATCAAGACAGACAGTGTTCCGCAAGCATGGAAAGCGAGGGTGGGGCAACTTCTGGAATCTGTTAGCCTCAGACAGTAAAATGCCTGGTGCCAGGGGTAGAAGTGGAAGTTACAAATTACAGAAGAGCAAGTTAAAATGTAAGGAAATATGGTCAAAGTGTCACTAGGATGTGACTATTTCAGCCAAGGAAAGCAGAGAATCTACATCTGTAGGTGCCTGGCTAAAGAGCGAGAATATTTTTAAATGTTCAAAAGAACTCAGCTTTTTATCATTCTTTTAATATGGCCCCATATTTAGCTACCTCCTATACTAAGCATTAGTATAACCAGCACAAAATAGCCTTAACCAGAGAACAAAAGAACACAGTCACATGAAAGGGAACTTCCCCACCTTGACAGAAAGCACTGCTGAGAACCAAGAGTGAGAAAAGGAAGAGAATCCTTTAGATCTAGAAAGCCACAAGGGCTTCACAATTTTACTTACTTTTCTATCAAATCCAGCGTAACTCCAGGCACCAGACTAACACATTTCTGCATGCAAAACCTGCAGAGAAAGGAAAGAGTGTGAGTGGCGGGAATGAAATATTAAAGGAAAATGTGACTGTCCAGCAGGAAAGTGGAATGTGGGTAGTATGGGGGACTGTCATGACAAACAGGTAAACCCAGGTTTCCTTATTTCTGGCAGTGTTCAAACTTGAGAAGAAACTCCCATTGCCAACTTGTCACAGGTGCCAGACTCCTGAGTCACAATTAGAGTTGTCAATGGAAAGAGCTGGTGTGCAGCTTTCCCCAGAGAGCAGCTCCAAGAAGCTACAGAAATGGAAACTTCTACACTAAGTACTGCTAGAGTGGACTGGAATTTCATGTTTTTCTTCTTAAGAAAGTGAGATGAGAATAACCTGAAGGCACACAGAAGAGCCTGGAGAAGACAAAGGAACACCAATTCAACTGTATCATGTAATCATCATGATTTCAAAGGAGTTGTAACAGAGACTGCAAATCTGCTAACAAATCCATTGTTGAGAGCTACAGTAGAAGTGGCAAGGCTTTATTTAATTTGAACGTACTGAAAGAAAGCAGGAAACCATCCTTCTTTTCTCCTGTCAAGGCCAGTGGCATATAGCTGGGCAGAATCAATGGCAACTTTGTGTAAAATGGCAACTACATGTTTTTAGTAGAAGACATGTAAAATGCTTGATTCATCTATGCTGAAAATTAAGAACAAGCATACTTTTCAACAACAACAGCAGGTAAAGAACACATACAGATGATCCTTGACTTAGAGATGGTTCAATTTGCAATTTAACAACTCTGCAATGTTATGAAAGCAACAAATTCAGCAGAAACTGTATGTTGAATTCTGAAATCTTACTAGTCTAGTGATACTGAGTTCAATACTCTCTTATGATGTTATGATGTAGTGAGCTGTAGTTCCCAGTATGCCACCCAACCATGAAGGGAGACAACTTATACTCTATTAGGGTTAGGGGTACAATGGCTAAAGTATGATGTTCCACAGATCAGGTGAATAACAAGCATTTTCCAGTTAGGATATTTAGAACATGAAATGGATTCTTTAGGATATTTAAGAAATATATTTCCATGTATTGCTGGTGAACAGTATATCTAAGAAAGGAGATGAGGATGAAGAGGTCACAATCAGGGGACAAATGGAAGTGAACTGCCACTTTGTCGCCATTAGTGGGAGGTGATCTTAGGCCTTTATACTGAACATATCATCCCTTCTGCTTGCCCAGGCTTCTGGGACACAGTCTGGGCTCAAACTTGCAATCTTTCTGCCTCAACCCTTTACAGTGCTGGTATTCACCACTAGGCCTGGCTGGTAGTGACTAATTTATGGGGACAGGGGAGCTGGCAGGGTATAGATAGCAGTGCAATAAGAGGGTGAGAGATAAAGAGGAACAGAAAGTTTCAGAAGCAGAAAGACATAGTCACGCACACCTTATTGGCCAGTGGTTCCTCTCTATAATCCTCCAGTGGGAGGCAGAGTGGAGCTGGCTTCCCTGCACTTGTGTGTACACTGCCCACTAAGTACTGTAAGAAGTAAGGCCTAGCTCTGTCAGCAAAGAAGTTATGTTTTTGCTTGTGGCTGCAGCAGCCGGTGTTTTATTGTTCAAAGAGCAAGTGAATAAACACAAGGACCATGTTTTCTTTTTTTTTATATTTATTTGAGAGAGAGAGAGAGAGAGAGAGAGAGAGAGAGAGAGAGTGGTGTGTGTGTGTGTGGCCAGCTCAGCCCACCAGGGGGCGGGGCTGGCTGGCATGTGGTGCTGGGGGATTGAACCGCGGTCCCTGATGCTTTATTAAGCTTGTTCTAAATAGGTGCTTTAGACCACTGAGCCATCTCTCCAGCCCGACCATGTTTTCTTGAGAGCACACAGCAGTCCCTCCACAGTGCCTTAGTGTACCCCCTGGTCAGCTGGTAGTTTCATTCTGAGAAGATCCTTCTGGGCTCACTTCTAAGCACCTCTGCAAACTCATATCCAATGTAGATACACATGGCTCCAGGGACAGTTTCATATTCAATCACGATCTCTCCACGGCTGACTCTGATCAGTAGAATCCTATGTAAAGCAGGCAGCTTTGTCGTTTGTCTTTTCACCCATAATGTCCATATTGATTGGGATTTTCATGTCTCAGTAATGGCAGATTCATTTGTATTCAACTAATCCTTCTGCCAATAACAAGGAAAAATTATGGAGTTTTTTTTTTTTCTTTTCAGAACTGGGGATTGAACTCAGGCACTTGCGCTTGACAGGGAAGCACTTATTCTACTGAGCCATCTCCCTGGCCTCTGTGGAGAAGATTTTTAAAAAGATTTGAAAATACCAAAGAAGAAATAAATGCAAGCAAAAACTGGAAGGGCTATGACACTTAACATGAGACTCTGGATGAGTCACTTCTACTGGCATCACGATTCACACAGCATGCAGGGACAGGACTCAGTTCAAAATCAGCAGGCTTACTAGGCTGAGAAGTCAGAGATCAGCAGCTAAGATTACCAGGAAATTACACCGTGTAACTAAAGAATGGAGGGAGCCAAATTTTACAAGCAAACTTTCCTCCAGCCCCAGGCTGATTCATAAGTCACATGCAGAACATGATGTCGAGGATCCCAGGAAAGACATCCCAGGCTGAAAACTCTGAGTGGAGATTTCAGCATCTCCTGCCACTAGGAAGACAAGGAGGATGGTCAAGTCCTGGCAAATTGGATGGCTTGATAAAACCTGGGTCTTTCCAGGGTCACTCCAAGGAATCATTCCTTAGTTACAAGCTTCATCATAGGATTAGGGTCGTAGCTTGGAATTAAGAGCAAAAGGAAAGAGACCAGTCTTGCAACCAAAGTTCTATGACGTAACCAGGTCCTCCTATAGGAGCAGAGCTACAAACTGTTCAGAGGACAACAGGGCCTGGGTCTTAGTAGTGTCACCTCCAAAAGAGACAGTAGGCTACCTAAAACCAGAAAATGAAACAGCCAAGACAGGGCCAGGTGTAGTGATGTATGCCTGTAATCTCAGCACTTGGGATTTGAGGCAGGAGGACTGTTGCAAGTTCAAGGCTGGCCTAAATTGTAAGTGAAACACTGTCTCAAAAGGACAGCAATAACAAAAACAAAGTCAAGACACACATGTAGAATAAGCAGACAGAATTACAAAGTTATAAAAACTAATTTGATTATTAACTGAGAAATAAGTACTATTATAAATACGGAAAATACAAACTTTTCTTAAACATGAAATTAAACAAGGACACCACACAACTTTACATATTTAAGTTCTGGTCATTAGAATCAGTGTACCATGGATATAAATCAGTCACTGAAGTCTGTAATCTCACTTTTGCCAATAACCTGTCTCTTATACCTATACCACAGTTGCTAACAATGGTTTTATGTTGTTTTGTCCTCTGAACAACATTATTAGACAATGAAAAGTAAGATTGGGCAAGAGCAGAAGTGATAAAAATGACTCAAAACAATTCACAAAACTGGAATAAGTAACTTTAATAATGAGAAAAGTAACATAATTATTTAGTTTTTATTATTTGGGATTTGCTTTATATGCTTTACTCAGACTGTTTAACTCACAAAATTCTATGAGGTACCACTGCCCTTTTTACAGATTTAGAATATCTACAAATTAGGAATATTATAGTAATTAACTTTAGGAATATTAAAGATAGCTACATGTAGAGGCATTCCTGTAGTCTCATTTACTCAGGAGGCTGAGGCAGGTAGTTTGCTTGAGCCCGAGTTCAACGGAAGCTTGGCCAACATAGTGAGTGAGATTCCATGTGTTAGTCAAATTTTTTGATGCTAGAAAAGCCTGAAAAGTTTTTGATGCTAGAAAAGCCACACAAGTTCAAGGAGAAAACGTTTATTTTGTCTTATAGTTTTAGTCTATAACTGACTGTCTCTAAGCAGCATCATGAGCAAAAGGCTATCAGAGAGAAAAGCTTCCAAATGCATTACAGCCAGGAAAAAGAGCACAGAAAAGCCAGAGAGGACGGGACTAGCAATGGTCATGTCCCCATGATCTAATCAGACACATCAGGAAGTATGCTTTACTAATCTCCCAGGTATCTCTTAAAGCAAATAAATTAATAAACAAGATTAACACTTGTCTCAAGAAAAATGAAAACAAAAAACATCTCAAAAAATTATTGAAGACAACAAAAAGATGTGGAAATCTTTCAAAAAGACAGAAAAGATCTCTTTCAAAGGAATAAGAATCAGATTAACATAAAATGTAAGGACACAATGGAATAATATTTGTAATTCACTGAAGAAAAAACTTCAAACTTAGAATTGTATATTCAGCTGAACTGATATCCAAATGTGAGAAAAAAATAAAAATATGTTCAGGTACATATAGTCTCTCAAGGTCTGCCATTAAAAGATGAGGAAGTCCGGTGTTATGGCACACACCTAATATTCCAGTACTCAAGAAGCTGAGGCAGGAGAGCCTTGAGTTAAAAAGCATGCTCAGGGGGCCAAAGGGAAATTTTCACAGGTGAGGTCCCAAGTTAAAGAACACACACACACACAAGACATGTATGACAACAACTTATGGTAGCATGGAGCAGAGGAGATAGCCAGAGCAAGAGTACAAGAGACCTGCCTGTGTCTTCACTGTGTAATTCTTACACAGGCTATTATTTCATGTTTATATTCTTACATAGTGCTGTAAGCAGGACATGTGTGTTTACCTGTGCAAAGTCAAGGGTACACAACTGTATCCCACAGTGCACCTGTGCTAGACAAGCATGGTCTTGTCCTCAGGTGTCCTTAGATTTTTCTCATAGTACTGAAAGATCAACTTATGCATAAATGACTTTGAGCTCACCTGTGTTGGCTATGAATGTATGTGTATATTTGTCAGGTCTGGCATTCTAGCTATGGTGACTTTCAGAAAATAAGGGAGTTCATACTAGTAAATAGCATATACTTAAATACTGTTTTGTTACCACTGTTCCATATTTCAATAATAATTATGTATGTGAATCTTCATTGCTTTTTTGTTT